TTTTTAAGATTTTATTTATTTGACAGAGACACAGCGAGAGAGGGAACACAAGCAGGGGGAGTGGAGATGGAGAATCAGGCTTACTGCAGAGCAGGGAGCCCGATGCGGAGCTCGATCCCAGAACCCTGGGATCATGACCTGAGCTGAAGGCAGACGCTTAATGACTGAGCCACCCAGGTGCCCCCTCAGTCTATTTTTAATCAGATTATTTTTGGCCATTGAATTCTATGAATTCTTTGTATATTTTGGATCTTAACCCCTTATCAGATATGACATTTGTGAATATCTTCCCCCTATTCAGTATGTTGCCTTTTTGTTTTGTTGATGCTTTCCTTTACTCTGCAAAAGCTTTTCAGTTTGATATAGCCTCAGTAATTTATCTTTGCTTTTATTTCCTTTGCCTAAGAAGGCATATCCAGAAAAATATTGCTAAGGCTAATATCCAGGGGTTACCACCTATATTTTCTTCTGGGACCTTTATAGTTTTGAGTCTCACATTTAGGTCTTTAATCCATTTTGAGTTTATTTTTGGGTATGTTATTTAAGAAAGTGGTCCAGTTTCATTCTTTTGCATATAGCTGTCCTGTTTTCCCAACACCATTTATTGAAGAGACTATCTTTTCCCCATGGTATATTCTTGCCTTCTTTGTCGTAGATTAATTGACCATATAATTGTGGATTTATTTCTTAGCTCTCTATCCTGTTCCATTGATCTCTGTGTCTTTTTTTGTGTCAGTACCATACTGTTTTGATCACTATAGCTTTGTAATAGAATTTGAAATCTGGGATTGTGATACCTCCATCTTTGTTCTTTGTCAAGATTGCTTTGGCTGTTCAGGGTCTTTTGTGGTTCCACACAAATTTTAGGATTATTTGTTCTAATTCTGTGAAAAATGCTGTTGGTGGTGGGTTTTTGTTTTTGTTTTTGTTTTTTTTTAAGATTTTATTTATTTATTTGACAGAGAGAGAGATAGCGAGAGCAGGAACACAAGCAGGGGGAGTGGGAGAGCGAGAAGCAGGCTT